AGTCAAAGCGTGGCCCGGCGGTTCCCCGGGTTCCCGCTGCAGGTGCTGTGGCCGCCGTGTGAGCCAGGCCTTGCCCGGGTGGCAGCGCTGCCCACCCAAATCCACCCGCACGCGGGGCTGGGAGATGCCCTAAAACTCCCGAGAGGCTTCCAGCCCCAGGCACGTGTTACGGGGATGCTGCCCCAGCAGTGTTAAGCCCATCCTCATGGGTTTTCCTGACTGCATCCCGGCGGTGTGAGAGGTAGGGGATGCTCGGGTGGAAGGCGGCGCACAGGAATAGTGGCGGAACGATCATAGAATCATGGAATGGTTTGAGTTGGAAGGGACCTTAAAGATCATCCAGTTCCAACCCCCCTGCCATGGGCAGGGACACCTTCCACTAGACCAGGTTGCTCCAAGCCTCATCCAGCCTGGCCTTGGACACTTCCAGGGATGGGGCATCCACAGCTTCTCTGGGCAACCTGTCCCAGTGCCTCACAACCCTCTCTGGGAAGAATTTCTTCCTGATATCTAATCTAAACCTCCCTGTTTTCAATTTGTACCCATTACCCCTTGTCCTGTCACTACAGGCTCTGTAAAAAGTCCTCTCCCAGCACCCTTGTAGCCCCTTCAGATACTGGAAGGCTGCAATGAGGTCTCCTCGGAGCCTCCTCTTCTCCAGGCTGAACAAGCCCAGTTCTTGCAGCTTGTTCAGCACATCAGGGAGCCAAGTGGGGCTCTTGGGCAGCGTGCGATGCCAGGCAAGGTTTGGAGGGGCTGGAAGAGGCAGTGTTGGTGTGCCCAACACCTCAGCTGAGGTCTGGGGCAGCCTGCTCTGTTCCACAAGCAAAGCTCCCCATGTGCAGCATCTTGCAAGGGGCTCATACCTGTGATGAAGTAGCTGAGCTCAGCGTTCAGCCCAACGTCAGCATCCGTGCAGTTGAGCCGGACCACTTTGAAATCCCGGGCAACGTTTTCGGGCAGCGAGACATTGTAGACGGCTGGGAAGAAGGTGGGGTTTTCGTCGTTCACATCCAGAACTGAAAGAGGGAGCAGAGCTGAGTGCCCTTCCAGGGCCGCCCTTCCGGCCGATGTCTGCCGGGTTCCCAAAACCGCACGCCTGCTGCTCTGAGCATCCCAGGGAATGCTCTGCCTGCTGCCCCGTGTGGTGCAGGTGCCGGCAGGCTAGCTGTAGGGACCGGTTCCCAGGGCTGCAGGGAACCAGTGTGGTTGCCTCCGATACATACAGATCACCCTAGGAAACCCTGCATAGCTGTAATTAGATTTACTGTTTGTATTCCTCATTTCCATCCCCATTCAGAGGAAAATCTCCGGGTTAAATGGAAGCTCAGCATTTCCTGGTGTATGACAGAGGGCTCTGGAGTTACAGGACCAGAAACTTCTTTTTCCAAGCCCAGGCCTGAGGATAATCCAGGGTCAGTTCAGTTCCAGATGATGCTTGTCCTCAGCACTAGGCTCATGCAAAGCCAGTAAATAGAAATTAAAGACAAACCACATAATAAGGGTCTCAGTGTGTCTCCTACATAAACTACATCTCCCTCTTGGTGACCCGTCCTTGTCATCCACCTTTTTGGGACCAGAGGGGGCTCTGCAGCTGGGAAGGGTTGGGAAGGGGTCTCGGCGCACCCACCTTTGACAGTGAGGGTGCTGGTGGAGCTCTTGGAGGGCACGCCGGCGTCGCTGGCCACCACCCGCAGGTAGTACTCGGCGATCCTCTCCCTGTCCAGCATGGAGGTGGAGGTGACGAGCCCGCTGGTGGTGTTGATGAGGAAATCCATGCGGGGCATCCCCACCTGCATGCGGTACGTCACCTGCCCGTTTGGACCCTCGTCCAAGTCGATGGCCACTACCTGGTGGCAGAGTGGAGGGAAGGGGTGAGAAGCCCTATCACCTCCCGATGATGAAAACACAAATCCATAAACTCTGAGCGTTTCTTTACCCCCAGGGATGCTGGGCTGAAACAAAGAGGCCTTGAGGCATCCCCTCACACGGGGTGGGATGCCACAACCTCTTCTGCATCCCTGTAGTTGTATTGTGAGAGGATGGATTGCTAGCCTGCTTTGCAGAAGTGATGGCAGCGACAGCAGCAGCAGCTCCCAGCGTGGGGCACGGCAGCAATGGGACACGCTCACCTGAAAGACGGAGGAGCCTGCGGGAAGGCCCTCAGCGATCTCGGCAGCAAAGGGCAGGTTTTGGAAAGTGGGGTCATTGTCGTTCAGGTCCAGCAAGTTGACAAAAACCGTGGCGCTGCTGGTAGCTCGCAGGGGTGGCCTCCCACCTGCGGAGGCCAGGAACAAGGGGGGGTTAATGCCTCAAGCTGTTTCCAGCCCTTTCCCTTAAAAAGGAGCCTTCACTCCCTGTGCAGATGGTAGTGCAGGATGGGGCTGCGCCTGGAGTCATTGACCTGTCCGTGATACCCCTCGCGCTGCATCCCATCGGAACACTCCCCTGGCAGCAGGCATGTAGGGCAGACTGATAGCTACCTGTCCATGCAGCTACAGATAACGTTATATGTGCCTCCTGGCTCTTGGAAACAGGCTGGATAATGGAAAATTATTGTCATATCTCTTAGCTTTTTTCCTACAAAAGTTTCCCTAAGAACCTTTTTCCAGAGAAAAATCCAGATCAGCTCTTTTCCCTCCACTTGACTTTCCTAGATACTGCTGGAGCCAGATGGAGTAGAGGGGGTGTTTCTGCCTCCCCGGCTCATTGCCAGGGCTGCTACAGAAATGACTGCGCTCGCAGCTTTTAACCTCCGGCAGGTTTTTAACCTCCTCTCGTTTTTTAACCTCAAAAACATTTTTGCAACTTACGCTCAAAACAGGAAAAAGAAGAAACTTCGTCGTGAAGGAAAAAAAATCCGGCTGAGAAAAGTGCGACTCAACACGTGAGAACCATCAGGGAAGAGAAGGCGGAGGGTGGGGAGGGCGACGCTTGCACAACCCCAGCCATTTCGAGCTCCGGTGGAGCAAGACAAACCGCTGCGGCAAAGAGGAGCGGGACGGAAGCGGGACTTACAGTCGGTGACCGACACCACGATCCTCCGCATGAGCTGGGCCTCCTGGGCGTTGGGGTTCTCACGGTCCAGCAAGACGCCGGTGGTGCGGATCTTGCCCGTGGTGCTGTTGAGGCTGTAGAACTTGTTGGGGGGTCGGATGCTGTACACCACCGTGCCGTTCTCCCCCAGGTCCGGGTCGATGGCCACCACCTGCCCCAGGGAGACAACAACAATTACAGCAAAGTGACGAGAATTAGCTCCCACGGCACAGCCCAGTGTAGATTCTCCAGTGTCTAATAATGAGACTTAGTTCCCATGACAGGCTTCCCCATTCCCAGCAGCAGCAAGAAGTTCTCCTTCCTCCACACAGCTATATATTTTCATGATACTTGCAGGGATTCGGTACCCTCAAGACCTCTGCTGTGGTGTTAAATCTCACCCAAATTGGCCTGCAAGCCCAGGAGGTAACGGCACGGCAAGAGAGACACGAGCACGCAGCAATCAAATGGGCTTTTCTCCTTTTAAACAAAGCCAGCTAGAAAACAAGAACCCTTCAGAAAAACACAATAAACGGGACAAAGAGGTGTGCCGAGGAACTTGTGCTGCCACATCGGAAACGCTGGGAATAATTCGCTGCTGCAGTTCTCCTCCATGCCAGGCGTTCTGTGCTTTATTGTTCTCTCCCTGTGACATTTTTAATTACAGGGGCCATTTACATTAAAAAAAAAAAAAGCAAACCCAACTTCATTACACTCATAACTTCCCCGGCTCCCGCTGCTTGTCCTGCAGCTGAATTTACATCGTATCGGAGACACAATAATTATTTTCCCAGCAACTAATTGGGATGTCAGAAACGAGACGACTTCAAGCGGGGCTGGTGCTGTACGGGAGAGAGAAAACTGCCGTGCCCTGGCTCGGGCTGCGCTGCCAGACCTTTCTGCCTCCCCCCAACTCTTTTTTCTTTCGCAGCCTTCCCTCTTATATGATTTTGTGGATTCTCTTTGCTTTTCCCTCATTTATTTTCCCTCTTGTGCCCATCATTTTTCTCCTGGCATGATGGAGTATAAGCCTCCCTCTCTCCTTCTCTTTTATTTCACCGGAGGGACTTGAAAGGCTGTAAATCAATGTTTTTCGGAGAGGTCCTTGAAGGAGGTCACAGGCGAGGCGAAGAAAAGGAGAACTTGTCTAAAACCTATGCAGTTTGGGGAGGAAAATCTGATCCCAGCAGAGAGGAGAAACACATGGGATGGGCAGCAGCGAGGAGGCTCAGGCGTAACCTTTTAAAGGGACATCTGCGAGGTGGTACTTGGCTGGAGGTGACAGCGGTTTGGCGGTGACAGCAGTTGAGGTGACGCTCCCGCCGAGCAGGCAAAAGGAAGAGGCTGTTAGCGCAACCCCCGCCTTCCCTCGCACGTACCGTGGTGACGTCCGAGTTGGGGGGGGTCATTTCCACCAGGTTGATGAAGTACGGCTCGTCCTTCCACATGGGATAGTTGTCGTTGATGTCCAGCAGCGTGATGTTCACCTGCGAGAGAGCAAGCAAGCGACATCAGGCAGCACAGGTTCCTGGGGCAGCACGGTGCGGACCCGGGGATGGACGGCAGCACCTGGTACCCAACTCATCTTCACCCTCCGGAGGGAAAACCCGCAGGAAAACAACCTCCTGCACCTTCACAGCCAAGGCTCCTCGGCTGATTTAACCTTGGTTTGGCTCACGCCTACTCGTTACCCCGCAGGCGAAACAACTGCAGGGGCACAAGGTGTGTTTCCAAGCTGCTACTTCACCCGGGGGGAGGGTTGCGAATCGGTCAGGGTGGTGGAGGAGAGGATGCAGTGTCAGGAAAAAACTGAGTGACTGATAAAAAGTAAAAAAAAAAAGAAGGAATTAATGAGGGTAGGGTAACAGGGGATGGGAGGTGCAAAGACAAGAGGGCAGGGGAGAGGATGGGGCCCTGAAGTGCTACCTATCTTCGTTTTCAGCGTGAGAAATGGCACCTAAGTGACAGCAGCGAGCCCGTGGGACGCATCCTGTTGTCTGTGAGTCTCTCACCTCCCCTGATCACCCGTTTCAACCCAGCCTGTGAGCCTATAAAGGTGCCCGAGGGAAGAGCTGCAGTTCAAAGGAAAGGGGGGGCAGGAGGGAGCCTGCCAGCCCCTCGCACGGTGTCTCGGTGGGGCTTCTCCCCAGGTCTTCTGTGTTCCCAACACCAGATCCGAGCTGCTGGTGCCACCCCGTGGTAGAAGAGACAAGTCTGGACACCACAGCCTCCAAGGATGTGCCCCAGGACGCAAAGCCAAGGCACCGGGGTGGTCCCTGGGGAAGGCTGGTGACCCACTGTTATCCGGAGCATCCCAGGTGCTTGTTATCCCAGAGACCTTGCAAAGCCCTTGAATGGACCCTTAGTCCCAGACCAAAAATGATTATAGGGAACAGCTTTGTGTCCAGGGTATATATCCTTGCTAACAAGAGCAGACAAACTTAATTGATCACCCACTTCTCACTGAGTTTTAATACTCTGTAATTTTTTAGGAACTGTGATGCATGGGGTTTTTTTTTTCCTAATTGCAATCTGTGTTGAAAAAAAAACTTGTTTGGACTTTCAATTAGGAGAACATCGTCTCATCTGGAGACCCAAAAGGACATCTGACGGGCCATGCCAAGGTCGTCATGTGCCTCTGGGAGACTCCATAGGGAGCTTCTCATAGAATCCTAGAATGGTTTGGGTTGGAAGGGACCTTGAAGATCATCTAGTTCCAACCCCACATCCACAGCTAGTTCCAACCCCACATCCACAGCTTCTCTGGGCAACCTGTCCCAGTGCCTCCCCACCCTCTCCGGGAAGAACTTCTTCCTGATATCTAATCTAAACCTCCCCCCTTTCAATTTAAACCCATTCCCCCTTGTCCTGTCACTACAGGCCCTTGTAAAAAGTCCCCCCCAGCTTCCTTGTAGCCCCTTCAGGCACTGGAAGGGGCTATAAGGACTCCCCGGAGCCTTCTCTTCTCCAGGCTGAACAAGCCCAACTCTCTCAGCCTTTCTCGTTTTCTACCTGGATCATACACATCCTGGTGGCCCTCAGCAGTAGTGAAAATTATTTTAGGGATCTCCTCAGCACAACCACAGTATTTCTCTGCACCGTTCTGCGTTGCGTAGGGCATCTCTCCTGCAACCCAACTGAACATCCCAGGAGCAAGAGAACTCGAACGCTACAAAATGTTCAAACCAACATGGTGCTGTGAGCAGTGAGAGATGGATCCTTGGGTTTTGACCTCCGGCTATTTCCAAAGACTTCTACAAACCCTTTGCAAACTACGTGCCTCCCTGATGTCTGCGAAGGGCAAGGCAAAGCAGGCAGCTTCAATCTGCAGTACAATGGCCTGCACCTCCATCAGGACCTTCTGAGGTGCCCAGGGATCACAAACCGGTTGGAAACCCTTGATCCAGGCAGTATGTGAATAGCAGTCATCAGGAACACGTAAGCGTGCCTGCAGGCTCTCCAACTAAGCGTTTTCTCAAGAGGCATGAACAAAGGGAGCCATGCTGTGGGTGGAATGGGTACCCGTAACCGCCTTCGCACGGAGGGCTGGACACGTAAAGCTCTGGGAGGTCAAGTGGCTCCGGGGTGAATGGCTTGCCAGGAAAAAGAGCGTGATTTCAAGGTCTACACAGCCTGGACAGTCATTCTGCAAGGGCTGAGGGTAGCGGGGGGGGCAGCCCGGAGGGCAGACGCCACAGTGTGCTCTTTACCCGTTCACACAGCTAAAATCAAACACTGCTAGCATGGGCCCCACTGCTAACACCGGCCCCAGCCGGGCACCGGTGGCTCAAGGAGACGGGAATCGCTCCGTCACACACTCACCATAGCAATGCCCGTCTTCTGATGGTGGCCCACGCCTCCATCCACCGCCCGGACAATGAGGATGTATTCGGATTTGGCCTCCCGGTCCAGCAAAGACGTCGTCGTGATTTCTCCTGCAGCCACGGGAGATGAGAAGGATTAGGGGAATAAAAGCGACACACAAAACTAGAGGTGGGATCCTTCTACAAGTGAGCCTTTCCTTCTGGTTAGGTTTCAAACCGCTGGACCCCAGAAGGGTCAGCTTGTCAGCAAGCTCCTGCAAACTTCGTGCTGTGCCATCCCATGGGAGCCCTCCTGCTCCGTGGGAAGCTCGTTTCTGCCCGTAACGAACTGGAAGCGATGCCAGCAAGGGAAGGGGGGCAGCAGCTCCCTAGCTAATGTAAACCCTTCCAGCCAAAGCCTTTTCTTAGGTGTCACTCCCACCGGGATCTGGGCTTCCACCGACGCCTCTGCCAAAGCTCTCGCCGTGAGCGAGCAAGTGCTGGTGGCTGAAATCTGGTGAATCCCTTAAATGGTGTGTCTCCTAAACAGGCTGCTCAGGGGAGAGGAGGGAAGGAGAGAGGGTGAAAGAGGAAAAAAACAGGGGAAATTCAGGAGAAGGAACTGAAAGGAAAAGAGGGAGAGCACGTACAGAGCCCCACCTGAGCGAGCATTGATACGAAAATGCGAGGAGCCCTCCAGGGAGTAGATAATCGATTCCTGCCCATACTCCCTGGACCGGTCCATGTCCGTGGCATTGAGAAACAGCACCGTGGCTCCTTGGGAGAGGCAGAAACAAGGGCTGGGGTGGGCATTCACAGCCCAGAGCAGCTGTCCCCAGCTGCCCTGTCCCCACACACCGCTCTCGTGGGTCACCCAGCCAAGGGGTCCCCTCGCCTGCATGCACAGCGGGGCTGAACCCAGGTCTCTGTTTTTTACCTCCCCAAAAAGCCATCACTCACCCCATTCTGGCTGTCAGACCCCCCAGGGCCCTTCTGCTAGCCTGGAGAAGGAGCAGGGGCATGATCCATACCTGCCATAATGTCCTCCATGACGGTTATAACATAGGAGGGCTTGCTGAACGTGGGGGGGTTGTCATTTTCATCCTGAAGCAAAGAGAACGTCAAGAGGGTGGTTGGGAAAAAGGCAAGATGGTCAAGCAGCTGCAGAAGTGTGGTACGGGGATGCTCCTAGCCAACTGCATCTCAAGATGCAACCAACTCGTCCTGGGCAACAGGCAGCAGGTCTGAGGAGCTGCTGCCATTGG